TCGTATTCCGGCCGTTTTTCTCGCACGGCTCAAACGAATCAATTGTAGCCGATACTGATCGTCCGATAGTGGAATCGCCAGGTTTCAACAGCTCATAGTAAACAACACCCTTTTGGTCCCACCAGATACAGAGTATGATCTTCGAACCATAAATGTTCGGCTTTGGTGTTGATGTTGAAGTCGATGGCAATGATTGATCGGGCTTAGCGTAGTATTTTTTCTTCTTGTCGTAGAATATCCACTTCTCATCTCCACAATCCGATGCAAAAAACTTTTTCTTTGTTGTCTTTGAATCAGCTGTTCGCAAGTGAAAAATCGCCTTTCAACGTCTCTCGATTTCAGTTCATAAGGCACCCAATTTCCTTGTTTTTGAATTATTCTCAATCGTGTAGAAACAGCTTGTTGAGTTATCCCAATGATTCTGCAAGCTCCTCTTTGACTCTGATCTTCTTCGAGTAATGCCTCTAATTTTTTGTCTTCAAATTTTTTTGGCTCCAGAGCGAGGTTTGTCTTCAACGCTGAAATCTCCATCCTTGAAACGTTGAAACCATTCTCTACATGATTTATCAGTTGGAGCAGTGTCACCATAAACTTCGACAAGCATTCGATGGGCTTCAGCTGCACTTTTCTTCCAATTAAAACAGAAAATTAGAACCTCCCGCAAATGATGCTTGGTTAACACAAAATTCGACATTTCAAACACAGTAAAAATCAAGATTTTTGTATGAAACTCGAAACGATATAAACTGAATATTATTAGCAGATGTCTAACCTCTCTGAAAACGCCAAAATCAGCTGTCACTATAAACCATTCACAACACCCGGAGTCATCTTTTGGAAAACGGACCGAACTAATTTGTACTCCCAATACTATGTTGCTAACTCATAAGAGAGATACATTGCAGATAGATACTTGAATGAATTGAAAGACGATTGGAACCGAGTTTAATGAGTATTTTTGCAAAACTGAGAAGTACAGACCAATTTTGGCGACAACCGTCCAATAATGTCAAATGCATGATTCTTCATTATAGTCCGACGTGTTTTTTAACTTTGAGTCCTAATGAATGAAAATGGTCCGATTTACGAGGGTAAATATTTACGAGACATGAATCCTAATAAACAGAAATTGGCCAGCGAATTAATCGCATACGATCTTGTGAGTACTAGATTCATGTGTATAAAATTTAAAATCATGATTGATTTCATTTGTTCGTCCGATAACCCAATAGGAGAGGTCATTCACTATTTCTGGCGATTGAAATATCAAAGTAGAGGATATTCAGCACGTACATTGTGTAATTTGAATAAAAGATGCTCCAGTGCTAGAAAAATCGCTGGATGAAGAAGTTGTTGCGTTCATTCAAAAATACATGGCATGAGAAATTTCAGATGAAAACGTTTCGCCAACGTTGTACGAAATGGTTATAAATGATCAGAATCGTAAATATAATTCACATTGCATGCGTATGAAAAAAAAATCGATACGAATATTTACAGAAAATATCGGTTCGATTTTTCTCGGCCAGTTATTGATAATTTCGTTTTAAGAGACGTTATCACTTCGATAGTGGATAGAAAAACGCAATAAGAACAGATTGTATGATTTTCCTCGCAAGAAGTCGGAAAGGTTTGATTATAATTCGGCTATCAAATCAGCCTGGGAGGGGAATATGGACATACAATTTATTGGAGAAAAATCAGAATTTTTAAACTCAAACTTAACAATACACGACAAAGTCGGAGAAATGCAACATAGACTTTGGAATAATAGATTCCTTTGACATCGAAACTGTGGAATTTTGCGATGCGTTCATTAAATAACAGAAAGTGCTTTAGAAGCTGCGGACACACTGCTAGGGAATCTCTTGTATGGTACAGACAGTGATACCATTGTCAAATGGATTGATGTTAATGAGATGAGAAACAAAAAAATTAAAACATTTAATAAAATTAAAGTTATCAATGAAAATTCTACGAATATTTATTGTCCGTCGCTCATCGATGATTACTATCCAAGTAGACCTAAGGAATTAGAATTATTGAATTTGTATGATTTTGGAAAATTACGAGACAGATGAAAAATGACGAAGTCGAATGTTACAAACTTGTATCGGGTTTATTTAAAAAAAAAACGAAAAAAGTTTAATTAACTATTATCGATTTAATGAAAAAACTGAACCCAAAAACACTTTTACTCGCTGCTTCTTCTGTTTAAATTGTGGAGAGATTTGAGTGAAATCAGAGCATACGAAGTTTACACGGATGCCTTTAAAAATTTAGCATCTGCTTTGACGAAAGTGATGAAATATCACGAAAGACTCAAACAAATACAGTCAACTTTTGAGCGTGTTGCTGAATTAATCGAGAAGTGCGAAAATTATCTAAAAACAGCAGATAGAGACAAATTTGATGATACTGAACTGGATTACAATCCGATAAAAGCTGATGACGCGATGAAAGATCTGATAGATTTTGATAAGATTGATGCCCCGATTGATTTATCGCAAATGATGTCATGATTGAACGAAGACCAGAAAACGGCGGAAGCAAAGTTATACACCTAATATGTTAAGTTTATAAAATAAAAATCAGATTTTGCGACTGTACGTAAGTGGTAAGAACGGTGCAGGAAAAAGTTTTCTTATTGAAACGATTAAACATTGGATCAGAATACATTTAAAAAAAGTGACATCTGCTCCCACGGGTATCGCGACATTCAATATCGCTTGACGATTCCATAGAATTTTTCAGCTACCCATGAATCTACGGCAAAATATACGCACTTGTAAAACACGGTTTTGAAAACTTTGACGACAAATTAAATTTTTTAGACAAATTAAAAACTGTCTAAAAAATTATTTATAATCGATGAAGAATTATGTGAAATCTTTGATATGACAGATACACATGATTTCTTTGGCAGAAAACATATTCTTCTGTTTGAAGACGTGTTGCAGCTTCCCCCTAAAAAAAGAACAATCTCCGTTCGGGAAAATGTCTCGATCAAAAATTCACAAGTATTTACCATGGGTGGATCTGATTTGTAGAGATTGTTCAATTATGACATCTTGATTAATGCAACAAAGATGCGACAACACATATCGTGATATACTTTCTAGAATACAAATAGATTTGGTAACGGATTCTGATATCAATGTTCCTCAGTCGAGAAAAATACATTTCAAAGAAAGTAGTTGCAACGAAAAATTAATGAACTTTGCACTTATATGAATCAATTACTGATTGATACAATATGTTTATTACCCACGTGTTATTTGTGCAAGATTAATGCGGTAATGCTCGATAAAATGATTGACAGAATGCTTGATGAAATTGTACTGATAGCTGATGTTGAATGTGCTCCAGCAATGAAAAAAAGAGTACATAAAATTTTGAAAGATAAAGATGACAAAGTTTCAGAAAGCTGACATTGAAAAACTAACAGCGATTAAAATTGGTACTAAAGTGATGATTCGACGAAACATTGATGTAACTTTGAGACTTGTCAATGGAACAATAGGCAATGTAGTTGCAGTTAATCGCTCTGTTGATGGAAATCATATTGATTCTATTAAAATAGTTAATATTATTTCGAATAACAAAGAAATCACAATAACGAAAGTAGATATTAAATTCAAAATATTTCATAAAATGGTAGTACATCGGAAATAATTTCCATTGTCTCTTAATTATGGAATAACTATACACAAAAATCAAGGAATTACGTGTAAAAATGCAATGGTGGATCTAGGAACGAATGTGTTCAGTGATGGTCAAACCTATGTAGGTTTGTCACGAGTGAGTACACTGGAAGGCCTACATTTGATAAATTTTAATCCGGCATCCATTAAAGCAAACTCGGGAGCCGTTGTAAAATATAATTGACTGAGATCTGTGTTCAGTTATCACAAATCCATTCATCCGAGAAAAAGGCTGTGAAAATTCATGACATGTCGATAGGCTATATCTAATATCATTGATAATGTACAGAATTATGATTGTGAAGAACCAGAAAGTATAGTTACATGGAAAATATACTGCCTCAATGATGATCATCATCATTTCGTGTTACGCTAATGTAATATTGCAATGTGCGTTTCATTGTGTACGTCAGGCAACAAATACTGAAAAATAATGTATCGAATGCATTGACTGACGCGTATGCTAAGTGCAATATTCTAGCGATTAGAAGATCTGTCGGAGAACGCTTCGAAGAACGAACACAATAAGATGTTTCGGAATTTTTCACGGCTCTAATGTCGACGAAATCAATGATGTATTAGAATTAGAATTGAAGCGTAATTTCTTGTTCAAATGTAATTATAATGTAACTATTATAGCTAGAAAAGAGTTTGCTAATATTACCTATACAGTCGACATTAAAAAGGAAAAAGGTGTCACTCTGCAAACTTTCATTGATTTAGAATTTTCGAAATGGGAATTTTCGAAACGAGAAATGGCAATTGTAACGAATGTAAGGATTCTGAAAAAGTACCGTTTTGAAAAAGAAAACCGTAATCGAATTGACTTTATCCGTTTTAGTAATACAGTTCAATTTATATACTTTTCTAAATGGTGCTTCTAAAAAAATTATTGACAATCGGATTAAGCGCTGAAATAAAACATCGACGCCGTATAAACGTTGCCGTAAACGTTGCATTAAAACATCAATTGCTCTAGCACTGTATAAGGGTTGCCATAAGCGCGGAAATAACACATCGGTTGCTCTGACGTATGTAGGCTGCAGTAAGCGTTGCATTAAAACGGATGCAATAAAGTTCTGGCTTGTCGTATCGATATATTACTGAATAACAAAAATGTCTTATCGTAGTCAAAGAACTTCATGATATTTCAGAGTATTATTAAGAAATGAATCTCTATGTCAAAGATTGTGTTAAAATCGGAGAGACGAAGAAAACGTGGTTGTGTTCTCACGAGAACGGGCGATGGAGGGCCCATTCTTTACTTTTAGTAATTTAAATATTCATACAATCCGCATGACCCAGAATTTAATGGATCATGGGTGCTTTGAAGCCTACTTTTTTGAGATACAGCGTAACGCGTCACCGATTTGTGCGCATTGTCGTGCGACTGCGGATACGGCGATGCACACGCTGCTGTTTTGTCCATCTTGGGCCACGGAGAGGATGTCACTTTTTGAGCAGTTGGGGCTCGATGTCCTTGACAGAACATATGGCTTCATTATCAGGGCGGCTATGTGCTCCGCTGCGTGTTGGACGGCCCTCGCGGATTTCTGCGAGACTGTCATGCGCAAGAAAAAGCGGACTGAGTGGAAGCGTAGCCCTGGAGAGACAAAGGGCTCTTTTAACTGTCTGGAGTCTGACGACAATGTGTAAAAATGTATATATTTAATGTACATATTTAATAAAATTTTTAAAATTTTTGAGGATAAACCTTTTTAAACTTTTAAAAATTTAAATGATTATCTAATAATACATTACCATGACAATTAACTGATATATTAATAAAGATGCCAGTTCAAAGTGAACATACATAAAGTATATATTACCTAATTTTAATATTTTTATATTACCTAATTTTAATTTTTTAATTTTTTAATTTATATATAATATATTATTAAAAGTAACTCATATGCTATTGAAGGTGCGAGTTCAAAACAAACATAATACATACAAGTAAAACAGATTACAATTTCATTCTAGAAAATAAGTGCGATATGTTATTCTTAATGCACAAAACATAAAAGTCGTTTATCGAGACTTGATTTGAAATTTATACTTTAGCCCGTACAATGAAAAATAATTGCTCGTAATTCTAGAGTACCAATGACTCGGAAAAAGAACTTGGCGGCCTGCTTTTAAAAACTTTCGATGGATGGAATATTGAAATAAAAAAAGAGTTATGAAAATGGTTCAAATTAAAAATCTACAATCTTTTTTTAGTAAAATTTCGAATTTTCGTATCAACTTCCGATTTTTAGTTCATATCGTACTTTCAACGAATGATTTATTGATCAAAAAAACTTGAACAAGCAAATATTAAGTAAATCCAAAATTCATAAATACAATGTTCTCTGATCAAGTACAAAGAAGCCATACGGTTAAAAGTTTATTAATTATTTGACATAATATATATTCATTTCGATATAGAGTTTTTGAAAATACTATTCTAATGTAATACTTTTCGTACTTCAAGTATTGTATTATACACAAAATAGTTATTATTCATTCAAATTTATTGTATCGCCTTCAAAGTAGGCTCCTTTCGAAATAATACATTTATGCCAACGAATAATCCAATCATCAAAACATTTTTTAAACGCATTTTCCGGAATCGACTTCAGTTCTCGCCGCGAATTCTCTTTTATGTCTTCTATCGACTGAAAACGAGTGCCTCGAAGTGATAATTTGAGTTTTGGAAAGAGAAAAAAGTCAGCCGGAGCCATATCTGGTGAATACGGTGGTTGTTCGGGTATATTTATTGAGTTTTTGGTCAGAAATTCGTTCACAATGATAGCCTTGTGAGATGGTGCGTTATCATGGTGCAAAATCCATGAGTTTGTTTTCCACAAATCTGGCCTTTTTCGACGAATTTGCTCTCTCAAACGCCGCATAACGCCCAGATAATATTCTTTATTTACCGTCTGACCTTCTGGCAAAAATTCCGAGTGCACAACACCACGCAATCAAAGAAAACAGTTAATATCACTTTGACTTTTGATCGACTTTGACGTGGTTTTTCACCACATCTCGACCGCTTTTCAATGCACTGTACCATTCATATGCACGTGTTTTTGATAAAGTCGATTCACCGTAAGCCTTCTGTAACATCTTCAGCGATTCGGCACACGAAATTCCATTTGCAATACAAAATTTGAGACAAATTCTTTGTTCGATCTTTTCATTCATTGTAAAAATCGCAAAACACACTTGAGATGAACTGATAAAATCGACTATAATCACATTAAATGACAGATGGCACTCTAACTCCGCGTCAGTATAGAGAACAGTTATGCCAACTTAGCGACAAAAAGAATTTTGACAATTCCTTTAAGCGGGCTTTTTAAATGATCAATTCCCGGTACTTTTTTGACAGAATGTATATACCGGATTTTGATGCGATTCGGTACTTGGACTTTGGATGAATGATTCATTTTTTTATTTATTTTATTTTATTTTATTTTAGATTAATAATAAAAAAAAAGGAATTTACTGGATGGAGAAGGAGAATAACAGATGTCCGGTTTATTACTATTTATCAAAGGTTTCCCGAAAAAAATAGAAGTGATTAGAGTTGTTTTGTTTTATATGAGTCGGAAAATGTGATCAAGTTTATCTGTGAGTCATAGGGTCACTGAACGTGCTCTCGATTAATAATTATTTTCCTTTAACTGATGTTCAGTTATTTATAATAATTAATTAGTCCAAAAAGTGATTTTCGATTGGCCATGCTACTGACTCTATCCTGGAGATAATTGCAAGTTATTCACATTTGAGAGAAAAACTGATTTTTCTCAATGATAAAAAAGAATCGTGAAGTTGTAACAAAAACAATATACAGTAATAACACTAGATTTATCGTTTTTTTAAATTTTGTCTTAAAAACATAATTTCATAATTCTGAAACCTGTAAAATATTCGGCAAACTGAGATATCTATCCGATATATTATGATATATTAGAAGTGTAAAAGGATTCCAATCGAATCGTGTCCAATCGTATGCTAACTTGTCAAGTAACGATAAAAATAACTATAAAATTTTTTACCGTTATAGTTACCAAAAAATAATAGTAACACAATTACCAGTAAAGTTACTAAAAAAATAACTTGTAATTGTAACTTCGTTACAAGTAACGAGTTACTTCCATTCCCTACTGTATATTAATAACTATACTATTATAATATTAATTTGTATAATAATAATTTTACTATTATATAATAATACAATGTCTAGATAATATAAGTGTTACGTCCTACAGGTGTCACTTTCCTTCGGCTCCACGTCGCGACTATGGTTGGCGTCTGCGAGACTTGAGCGGACCCTTCTGATAACGGTCTGACAGAATTGAAAAGAGAGACCGGACAGGCTCCGCAAAAACTTGTAAATGCCAATCAACCTGGAAGAAATAACCTTAATGCAGGTCCGAAAAGAGACAAGATTGCAAGATTCTAAATGCATCGAAGTCACGCAATAGTAAAAATCTAAGCTTTGTCGTCCGAGATGATCCGACAATTTCATCTTAGGAAAACAGGCGCCACAGGCGGCTCAAAAATTCATTCACTACGCATGAGATAACTTCCCACGGTAGCGTTATGTAAGATCAGACACGCGACTGACAATGGTTGCCCTGCACGCAAAACTAATTGTGTACGGTAACCATCTGTTTACCTAGCCATATTTTCCGCGAGAATTCGTCAACCGTCTGGAGCAATCTTGACTCTTTAAAGAAAAACGTAAATCACTTCTTTTCTTCTCGAAACTCCTCTAACGATGTACTTTAGATTAACAACGATAGGACGCTATAAAAATCGTAAATTTCGCGTGATATTATAACTAACTTTTGCATCCTAGACAAAGGGCTCTTTTTTCGGAATATAAATAGAGGTCTCGCGAAAGCGCAGAGCATCAGTACGGAATTCTAAACCACCGATTCACATCAGTGCAGTTCACGAATTAAACTATTGTCGCGGGCAGTGCGGAAATTATTTGAACTCGCGATAATCACCCCATTTTGCGGTTTCATACGAGTGCGAAATTGTGAGCAACTGAAATTATCAGGTATACGCCTCTGCGACTGCTTTTTGACGCTCTCCGCGAACGACGGACCTTCTCGGTCACCTATTGGAATCTACCCGATATCTTGTGGATAGTCAGCTAACAGTAAGTCGCCATTCCTTCTGGTTCATCCCCTCATCTCCCTGCATGGAAACACATTTATATACATTTATGCGCGTTTTCGAAATATATACATACGTTATTTTAACCCTTCAGTTTGTAGTGCGTACTAGTACCATTAAAAAACGCGGACGAACTCCTTATGTCTGGAGGAGTAGACGGAACCGTCCCCTTGGCCAACCCACAATCGCGCCGCCACAACCGACCGATGACCAATTTGACGAGGTCTCCTACTTACCAACATTAGAATCGACACAATCCTTAGATCTCACCTCTTCTCCTGTCATCGATCCTGCTATTCGGAAAATCCTAAATTATTTCCCTCCTCCTCTCGAGGAACGATTCCTTCCCCTGTTCCTCTCAAAGGACGATTCCTTCTCCCTTCTTCTCTCGAAGGATTTCCTTTCCCTCCTCCCTTGGATCAGCTCCCAACCCCTCCTTTCAAGTAAATCATGAGCCGATCGACTGGGATCGGTTATTCAGGCTATATCGTCCCCCTCCAACGAAGGGGATAGAATAGTCAGTTTATATTCTAGGAAACCCCACCCCTTACACCGTCCTTTACAAGCACCTCATCCCGATGTGCTCCTCGCCTCCCATACCCATTAATCCTTTCCTCACGCGCACATCCGCACACATCCATAATATATTAAGTATATTCTTATGTAAAAAAAAAAGGAAAAGTTATTTATTATGTATAAAAATTTTTTTATTATTCCTTCTTTTTATTATTATTTAATAAATGTAACTTAGAGTATATTTCCTTGTCTTTTATTGAAATCACCTCTCGCATTCACTTCCCTCTAATACCTGAGATCGCACGAGGTCCAGTCCCGGGTCAAAAGAATTAAGTTCCTTGACCTAAAAAGTAGGACGGACGTTCGCACTGTACATCGGAACAGATGTCATAGCGTCCCTTCAGACGTTGACCCATATTCCAGGACCGAAAAGGTGCGTATGACTCACAGATGTTCGCCTCTGCGCGTATACCTGTGAGATTGAGTCTAATTGTCCTTCCATACCTTCTCCATTCTCCCTCACTTTCTGCTTGACCAAATTTCCAAGGGTTTGAATGTAACAGACCAAATGAATTTTTGGGGGCTCGTCCGGGATAACAAGTGCGATCTTAGGAGACGGGAATGAATATGAGAAATTCTGGCAATAAATTCGAAGTAGAAAGCTTTTATAAAACTGTTATAGAAAATCTGAAAAAGTTAAAGTCGAGTACACAAAACATATTACACACCTCCACTCCCCTCAAACCCTTCGAATTTGAATCTGAAGCTGCGAGTTTCTCTTTGAATGAATCAGAGTTTTCGGATAATTCTAAAACTCTTGTGTTTGACGGTTCCGCCGATTCAGAGGACATTGTCACTTAATCCGCGCGTGAATTCGGTGGTATAACGTCTGAAAATAAACGTAGAACAATTGTGGCTATCCCTAAATTGAGAGGACCTGACGAAACCATGACGCACCAAAA